GAGGTGTCAACAACCATCAGCTCAAGGGACTATTGTATAGTAAATTAAAGACGGTACAATATTACAGAGTATCAGAACAGCCCATAGTGACAGTAGTGAGGAAGAACACGCTTTCAACAGGAAGCAACATGGTGGCTCTTACTCATCAAATCAGAGACTAATGCCATCACACGGTCCCTCTTACAACGAGAGCTTTCACTACAGGATTATTATAGTCAAAAGGACAATTTTTGTGACAAAAATATTTTGATATGTATGAAAAAAATCTAAATATTTATAATAAACAATAATTTAATGCTATGTTTTGAGAATGGCATGGTTTTGTTTAGTGATAACATAAAGCCCGATGACAGTGGTGGTGATAAATGGCATATCAAATGAGAAAACTGTGGACACATCTGCCTACATCTGGCTGTATTAATGCTCAGAAAAATACATTAAACAAACTGGAAGAAACTGCCATAAATTCATATCAAACCCTGACAGTGTCTGAAAGTTTGCAGTGATACAAAAAAATGACCTTAACCTGGACCTCAACAAGTGCAACGATAAGTGATGAGCAGTAGTGTTGTGTTGAATGGCACATCAATATACTGCAGCTCTCACACAGGGTCATCGCTGTTCATCTGAATTCAAGCTACAGTGTCACATTCGCATATTACAAATCCAGATAAAAAACATTGTTGCCTAAATTATTGCAAAATGGAAAGATGGTAAAAACGAGACTACACAGGTGCCTGTCCTGTTACCAAAGAAGCAGCAAAGATTCTTACTATAAAAACTCCAGTCCAAAGTTTACAAAAATAACACTCTTATGTGTAAAGATTCATACGAGAATGTGACATTTATGTGATTTTTAAAGGAAAAGTGGCTTTTTAAATGTTCAGTAAGGATGGATGTGCAGGGGTGTCAAACACATTTTATATCTTGGGCCACAAACAACCCACTGTGACCTCAAGTGAGCTGAACCAATCAAACTACATGAAAAATGTGTAAAGTTACAGGAAACCTTCTGCAAGTTCATTCGGTTCAGAATGTCAGTACACACTGTCCTGTGATTATAACATATAAAGGTGGGTTGTTGTTTTTATCATATCATTTTTTTAGACTGTGAACTCACTGTAAAAACAAACAAAAACACATCTTTCTGCAGTAGATAGTGAAAAAACAGGAACTTTAATGTCATTTAATTAAATGAGGTACAGTCTGTATCAACTGAAAAAGCTGTAAAATATATGAAAATGCAGTTAAAACTTTTAACTGATTGGAGTCTTTGCTGGGCTGAGTCTGGCCCCTAGCCAGATGATTCGTATCTGTATTCTAGATGCTAAATGCCTTCTTGCACTAACTTAAATCTTAGTCATACATGGCATAAACAGCATCACAGCGAGGAGCGGTAAAAGTTTGACATTGATTTGGGGCTTTCAGTGTTAATTTAGTCATTTTTGTCATGAGACTTCACAGGAGCAATGGGTAATGGAAAACCAGTTGTGTTTGTAATGGATTGTGGTGGTTTGGAACCAAATGCATGAGGTTGGAGGCGGAAGTATAGTCCAAAGATGCCA